AAAAAGAAATTTTAAAGTGTTTTTCATTTCATTAATAAAACAATCTTACAGATGCAGCATAATATTCATAATTGGTTGTTTATAATCAAACAGTATAATTAGATGACATTAACTTTTCGACTTTCGGTATTTGCAAAATCAACTATAACATCTTCAAATGTCATCTCCCGCATTACTTCATTTTCAATTGATAGCAGTACCAGGGAGAATAGTTGGATATATAGATAAACGCAGATTTTAATTTTTTTATCAGTTTTAATTTTGAAAAAGAACGTTCACCTTCTGAATTCGCGCCTAATATAGAGAGATAAATCCTGAAAGCGATATTAACATTTGGAAAACTTGCAACTAGTTTATTGTCTATTTTTAGGTTAATCTTATCAAACATCAATTTACCATCACTAAACATTTGAGAAAACAGCAAAAACTCATCGGTAAATTTGTCTTCAAGGTCTGATGGATAAATCTGAATTAGTGCCTTGGTTTTAGCCACTACTTACTTACTCGACAAAGATCTGTTGTCAAGAAGAAAGTTAAACCTTTCGTAAAATACTTTATAAGCTGCTCTGCGTTTTTCCATATCATTATTAAGTCTGTCTATGATAACGTAATACTGTTGAATACGGAAATTATCACTGGCAATAACATTTAAACTGGAATTACTTTTATCCATAATTTCGTCATCAAATCGCTTCCGTATTCGCTTGCGTTGTGTAGCTTCTTTGTAATCAGATTCTGTGAGATCTTTTGCCTGGCCTTCGAATGTTTCAAACTTACTGCGTGTATCATGAAAATACTGTATGAGACCATCGTACAGTTTAATGATGGTGCACAGCTCAATACCCGGCTCCTGTAAGGCTTTATTGACAATATTAATCTTTTGAAATAAATCTTTCCAAATCACACACATTAACGCAGTTTCAAAGTAGTCTAAATGTTTAACCAGTGATTTCACTTCATGAACAGCTGCTGATGGTTGATGTTTGCTGTTAGTGACTTCACATAATGCTTGACGAATTTGTAAGTAATTTGCATAGAAAGCTCTTGTGGCATCACTTCTAGAGGACCACCTAGTTTCTGATAAGGTTTGTAAAACAAATACGTTTTCTTTAAGAAGTTCTTTAAGAGTTGACCTTCTCTTCGTTGAAGCTGAGAAAAAATTGTAAACTGACTGTATGACACCAAAATAATTTACAGCTGCTAAACAACACTCCACGGCAGCAGAACCAACTAAATTTAGGCTGTGGGCAGCACATGGAACCAATTATGCTAAATGATTAATCTTTCTGAATCTAGCTTGTACACCAGAATATATTTCACTCATATTGCTGGCATTATCTTAAGATTGTGATCGGCAAATTTTTGATGTCTATTCCATGAAACTGAAGAATACCAACCACAAGATTAAATATGTATTCTCCATCATGGTGTTCAATTGGAATAAGTTGAAGAAATCGCTCTACTACATTTCCGTTTTTGAGTACATAGCGAATAACAAGCGTGAGCTGATCTACATGACAAATATCAGGGGTTGAATCGATTCTAATTCCATAATATTTAGCATCCTTGATTTAAGAAATTATTTGCTTCAAAACTTTGCCTCCTAATATATTAATGAATTCATCGCATATGTTTGCTGAAAGATATGATACATTTTCCTTTCCTGGATTTCCATATCTTTGAATGTGTTCTCTTAAAAATGGATCAAATTCAACTAACAGATCAATACAACCAAGATAATTTCCATTGTTAGGAGAGTTATGCAATTGATTGTCACCAAGAAAAGCTAATCCCCTTTCAGCAAGAAACTTTATCACTTCAACAACTCTCTTCAAGACTTCAGTCCAGTATTTGCAAGACTTCTCATTTTCCTTCTGAAGTTCAACATCAATTCGAGTAGACTTTTTGTATTGCATTATCATCGACACAGCAGCAATATGATCTTTTGATTTTTCATGTGAGTTTATCCTAGCAATAACATTTTTCCAATCATCGAAACCAGTTATAAATTGATTCCTTGGTGCATTATAAGTACCAGCACTGCCGGTTTTGCAACCAAATATCTTGCAAATATAACAAAACACTTTACCAGTTGAGGGCGAATATACGAGTCAATCCCTGCTGACAATTTCTCCATTAACCAGTTTTCTTATAAAATATTACTTGCGTACATATCTAATCTTTTCACCAAATTGTCTACCTTTTAAGCTTAAATCAGATTTCAAATTCTGTGATGGGATATTCTCTGCATAATAAGCTATGAGATCAGCATTTATTTCCCATTCAGCAGGATCATTTGAAATAGATTCCTTACTATTCAGTGGCGGAACTTCAAAATTTGGGCCCCCCCGCAAAAGAATGTTTTTTTTGCGGAAAAGAGTTTTATAGTATAAATATTATTGAGAGTATAACTTTTTTATATGAGGGCCCCCGATAGCTGGTAGGCCCCCCCGCAACGCAGGGTCCTGCGTCCAGTAGTTCCGCCACTGTAACTATTCCTTATTCCCAATCCTAAATCTGCTACTGTTGGTTCCGCATCTGCTTGAATAACTGGTTCACTTGTAAAACTCATTGCACAACCGCATTGTTCCACAGTGTCAGTCAGCATTGGTTTTGGCTCTGGTATTACTATTCCTGGACTTGTTGAAGAAACGAAAGAGTTTATTGAAGTGTCATTGCCAGATGTAGCATCTACTTTATTAACATATTTTAGCAAAAAACCTTTCATTTTTTTTAATGCATCCTCTTTCCTTTGCTTTTTCTGCCGTTTAATATAGCCAGACTCGTGCTTTCTCTTGTACCCATCGCAACCGGATATGACTTGAATTTCTGAAAATCATAATAAATATTCAATATAGAATAGACATAAAACATAAAAATAAAATAAAATATTTTAATCCATTTAAAGAGGGTGAAAACATTTAAATATATTCCATAAAACATTACATTTAACAAAACTTATTAATAATTTACAAAAACGTAATCATAACAAATAAAATAGCTACCAAATAAAATCGTACTTTTTAAAATAATTCGTGGAATTCTGAGAATTTCATTTTTAAATAAATGTAAACTATTGATAAATTTAAACTAACGTTTAAAACAAATAACAAACCATAGATTGCTGAATTTTTAATAGCTTTTTATGATCATAACAAAAGTAATGGTAGTGAGAGAAATACAATTAATGAAATGGTTACAATTTAATTTCTTTAAGGCATAACATGTGTACAGATACAGAATAATCAAGCAAACAACGACTGTAGGCCTATTAACGACAACGTACAAAAATTAAAAAATAATGTAAATTGAATAACGTGTACATGACATTTAAATTGAAAGAAAGGCCTACAGCTACATTTTTATGCAAAGTGCCTAGAGCCTACGACGCCCCAAAAACGGCCCTGATTGCAATCTACGGTATTGAACAAACTTGTCCATCATACTGAAATTCAAGTTTTTAAAAAATATGCCAAGTATAAAAAAATAAATCCAAAACAAGAGAGAAAAGTGTGTTACTATGGGCGGTTGCTATGAGAATATGTTTGACCACCTTACTTGAATCTTAAATAAAACCTTTTATATCTAATATTTTTAAAAACAGATTTCAGAAATGAATTCAGTGGCAAAAAAATTGTTCTAAAACTATTTGAACTGAAAAATTGAAAAATTTCAAAAATATCAGTTTTTTTTCGTGGTAAATCACCTTAAAAACCAACTATCGCTACTTCATTGGAAGCATTTAAACTTTAATCATAACGCTAATAATCTTTTTGAAAATTTCTTTAAAACATTTTTTTTGGTTTACGATGCTAACTTTCCTAATGTTACTCATACATCAAAAACTAAAAACATAAATAATCCTTGGATTACCAAAGGTTTCAAAAAATCATTAAAAACTAAGCAAAAGTCATATATAAATATCTAAAAACAAAGACTCCTACAAGCGAAAAAATTACAAAGAATATAAAAATTTATTTGAAAAAATCCGGAAAAGTTAGAAAAAAAACTACTATTCAAATTTGATTAATAAAACGAAAAATAACATAAAAGGGTAAAAATTTCTCAAAAAACAAGGGGTTGCACCCTGCACCACCAAATTCGCTGAAATTTGGCACAAATGTTTTAAGATATAAGTTAGGAAAGACTGTAAAAATTTTTCAAAAAATTCTCAACCCTTTAAGATTTACAGCAACTTGAAGTTAGTTATTTTTTGACTGAAAAAAGAGGGGGGATAAAGCCGGAATTGTCACCCTTTTAACAAACTTGTAGTAATGTTGCGAAGCTAAAACTTAATACCAAAGTAGTTTAAAACCTGTTGAATCTGAAAATCATAAACTTATATCTCTCAAAACAATAAAATATAGTTTATTTTTAGATCCACAAAACGCACTTGTTAATGACAATAAAAAAGGCCATTGACAACTATAGTTCTAGAAAAAATCTGACTGATAAAAAGAAATTTTGGTTTTCGTTGTTTTGAATATTAAACATATATCTACTTTGCGAACCAATTTTTATTTGGCCTTATGTTTTATCAAGGAGTTATTGATGTTTTAGTTTTTTCAATTTTTCTAAATTTTGCAAAAAAATTTGCAAATATATTTTGAATACAAATACAATTATTTTTGTTTTGTAATAGCTTTGTAAAAAATATACAAAGTTATTACAAAACATAGTTGAACATTTTATAAATTTGTTTCTTTTTACTTTCATTACATAATAATAATGTCATTTTCATTACATAATATCATGTCATTAAATTTAACAATATTATGTAACTTTTGTTGTTGATTGTTTTGTTGTAGTAAAACATTTATTATCATCATTAAAAAAAGTAATAAAACGATATAATAATGTCTTATTATCATTACCATGTTAAGTTGCATAACTAAATAAAATTATATTTAGTTATCTTTTACTTTTACACAACTTTTTGTAAGTAGTTAATGGAGAATTTACAATAATTAGTAGATAGTTAGGCATTTAAAATATGTCTAATAAACTAATAGCTACTTGTTCAAGCAATATGTTTTTTATAAATACATATTGATATGATATTGTTTGTGTTCAAGTTTAAGCTACTTGAAAAACGAACAAATCTGAAACAATAACAAATTACTAATATATGCAAACACCATCATGATATGTTAGTTGTAAGATATGAGGGTAATCAGAAAAGTTTAATCTATTTCTGAGTCACCAAAAGGTATGTAGAGGTAAAAATTTATATATTTATATTTCATTAGGTTATATCATTATTAATAAGTCATATAAGTTTTTTTGGTAAAAAGATTTGTTCAATGTTTCATAGTTATTAATATAACAAATTTTATAGTAATATAATTACATAATATATATAATTAATGTTATTTAAGTAATGTAATTACTTTCTTTTTAAGCATCTCTACGTGTGATTACAATGCATACTGTGTTAATAGCAGAAATCATAGGTTTAAATCTTATACCTGGAAAAAAACTGTGTCCAACCTGTCGAAGTAAAGCTATGACATGTTTATCAAAAAGTATAAGTGAAAATAAAAATGATGAAGATTTCGATATTGTTAATAAAAGATCCATTTAAAATAAAAAAGAAAGTGTAGATACACACTTTGCATCTGCCGGAGTATCTCCAATTAGAGTCAAAGGATTGCATAAGTCAGGTAAAATCAGAGAAGGTAAACGAAAAGTGATAACATTAACAACCTCCATTAAAAAAAAGGTAGCCATTTCCCTTAATATATCAGAAGAAAGTTTTGAAGAACAGTCAAATTTTAATAATGAGTATATGGAAAAAGCAAACTTGTTTGATAACATGATGGTATTGTTAACTAACAAAATTGCAGAGTCTACATCAACATCAAAAAAGTACAACTTGCGACACTTGCTCCAACAGACTGGTCAATCAAAAAGTTATCTGAAACATTGCATGTAACAAACTTTGTAGCTTGAACTGCACGTAAGTTAACATTAGAAAAAGGTATTTTAACCATGCCTAATCTTAAATTAGGAAAAGCTCTTCCTGATGTAACATTTCAACTGGTCAAGACCTTTTACGAAGACGATAAACATAGCCGTATAATGCCTGGTAAAAAGGACCATGTGAGCATAAAGAAAAATGTCTACATGCAAAAACGTATGTAATTTAATATCTTATGTAATTTAAAGAAATTGTTTGTTGCCTTTAAAATCAAGAACCCAGAAATAAAAATTTTCAAGGTTTTGCACCTTGCGACCTAAATGGTGTATTACTGTTGGTGCCTCAGGAACACATTCTGTATGCGTCTGTGCTATTCATCAGAATTTGAAACTGCTTTAACATCCTCTTGGTATGACATACAAAAAATTGTTACCTTATATTGTCTGTGATATAACTAATAAAGACTGTATGATGAGGAAATGTGAAAAATGCCCAGCAACTATGAATGCATTGGTTGAAAAACTTTATGATATACTTGGAGAATTTGAAGATGATGATGAGATTGAATTTGATCAATGGACAACAACAGATAGGTCAAACTTGACATAATAAAGAGCCAGTGTTTGAATACGTTGAACTAGTATGTAGAAAACTGGAAAAACTTGCACCACATTCGTATTTAGCAAAGAGTCAAGCATTATACCTGAAATCAAGAAAGGAAGATATGAATGAGGTAACAGCATTATTTCTGGGTGATTTTTCAGAAAACTATAAATTTGTAGTTCAGGATGAAGCGCAAAGCTTTCATTGGACAAATTTACAATGTACACTTCATCCAGTGATTATTTATTTCAAAAAAGGAGGCATTCTCAAGCACAAATCCTGTTGTATTATTTTGGATGATATGATCCATGATGTGAACATGGTTTATAAAATTATTGAGGTTGTTTGCAATGATATAAAAACAAATTTGCCTCAAATAAAAAATATTGAATACTTTTCAGATGAGTGTGCAGGTCAATAAAAGAATTGCAAAAATATGTTAAATCTTTGTTTCCATTGTGAAGATTTTGGTTTTACTGCTAAATGGAACTTTTTTGCAACTAGTCACGGTAAGCAACCTTGTAATGAGAGGTGGTACAGTCAAATTTCTGGCAACACTAGCAAGTTTGCAAAGAGATATGGATAATCATTTTTTATCTCCACAAACAATGTATAAATATTGCAATGAAAACATTGAAGGCATAAATTTCATATATATTTCATCAGAAGATTTAACTTTGGTGAGAACCGCTCTCAATGAACGATTGGATACTGCTAACACAATACCTGGAACACGTAGTTACCATCAGTTTGTACCACTTGGCCATCAAAAGGTAAACTGTTATTTTTTAATTATGCTTTTTACCATATTTTAAAATACACGCATAACTTTTATTGATAAACTCAAATAGATATTAGATTTTTGCAGAATCATTATCAAAAATATTTGTATTTTATTTTATTTCCTCTGCATTTGCTATCTATGCATTTAATAAAACATGTTTGATAAGTAAAACGGAATAATTGCATATGTTACTATTTTGTTTAGATGGGCACTACGCTATGCAGTGTTGATGAAGAATTTGATTTAATTCATGACTTTGGAAATATTCAGATAACAACTGTAAACCTAGTACCAGGTGATTATGCCTGTGTTTCCTATGAGCAAAAGTGGTGAATAGGAGTCATTGAAAATATTAATTTAGAAGAAAAAGATGTGCTTGTAAAATTTATGTGTCCTAATGGTCCTGCACGGTCGTTTAAATGGCCACCAAAGGAAAGCCAATGCTGGATTCCTGATGTCCACATTATTTGCAAAGTTGAGGTACCGATAACAAAAACAGGACTTTGCTACTAATTAGCCAAGGAGGACTTAAAAAAAATTATTTTCCTAAGGAAGTAGAGATTTTTATATTTATGAGTCTATTATGTTTTATCCATTCTTTTTTTAAATATTGTGTTTTGTGAACCAACTTTACGTGAATGTAAAGCATATATAAAATCACTAAAGTTTAGTATTTAAAAAAAAAAAATTATATACGTTTAAATTTTGTTGTAAATATCATATGAAAATGAAAAAGATAATAAAGTCACACAATTTTTAGTTTCTAATTTGATTGGTTGGTAAAAGGTGGGGTTATATTAAGTGTCTAATTTTAAAAATATTAAAAAATTTTGTGTCTATATCAAACATTAATAATTCCTCAAGTAAATATAAGGCCAAAACAAAATTGGTTGGAAAAGTAGGTGTTGATCTTATTTTTAAGAAAATCGAAATTTTTTTTTATATCAGTCAGATTTTTTTTATTGCTATAATTGTCAATGCCCTTTTTTCTCGGCGTTATAAAATGTATTTTATGGATCTTAAAATAAGCTACATTCCCTTGTTTTGACATATAAAAAACTATATTTTTTGGATTTAACAGGTTTTAAACTCTTTTGGTACAAAGTTTCAGAATTATGGCATCACTACAAGCACCATATTAAGGTGAAAGTAAGTGGATTGATTTTCGGAACTTTTTCCCCCTCAGTTTTAGTCAAAATCAAGGAAACTTCAAATTACTGTAAATTATAAACGGTAAGAAATTTTATGAAAAAAAATTACAGTCTTTCCTAACATATGTCAATAAACATTTGTGCCAAGTTTCAAAAATTTTGGTGATATAGGGTGCAGATTTGTGTTTTTTTGTGTTTTTTGAGAAATTTTTACCCAAAACGCACTTGGCAAATACTAAAAGAAATAATTGGGAAACAAAAAACATGCTCAAGTTTTTTGCCACACGTGCTTAAAATCGATAACAAAATTTTATACAATCCACAAATTATAGCTCATGAGTTTTATAAATATTTTGTTGAAATTGGTCCAATCAGATATCAGATAATGTTCCAATTACCAAAAAATTGGTCCTTCCCTATCAGATAAATTTCCAATAACCAAAACTTCTTTTTATGATTTTTTAGCATCACTTGATTAAGACATTTGCTCTGATGAACTATCGTCCGAATTATCCTTCGAAGAGTTTGAAAAAGCTTTTAAAACCTTAAATAAAAAATAAAGCAACTGGGCCTGATGAAATAAACGGAAATATAGTTATAGATTGCTATGAACAAATAAAAAATATTCTTTTTTAAAATCTTTAAAGCATCCATTCATTTAGGAATTTTCCCTGAGCGCTTAAAAATTGCTAAAAAGGTATCTAAAAATATTCGCATTTTGAATAAAACCCGACCTTACTTAAGCAAAAAAAGCCCTACGCAGCTCTATTACTCATTCATACACAGCTATATAAACTACGCAAATATTGCATGGGGTAGTACCGAAAAAAGTAAACTACAACGTCTATATCGCCAACAGAAACATGCGATTCGCGTGATTAATTATGTGGATCGCTCTACACATTCAAAGCCTTTCTTTGATGAAATGAAAATACTTAATGTCTACAAACTTAACGTCTTTAATGTTTTATGTTTTACTTATATGTGGAAAAACAATTTATCCCTACCTGTTTTTAACGACTTTTTTTAACATTAAAACTTACTAATAAGTGCTCACTAAGAAATAAGGATTTGCTAAATGAACTATTTTGTAGAACAAAGTTCATTAAATTTTGTATTAATTATTGAGCACCTTACCTTTAAAATGAAATAGTTCTGCCGTTTTTCTGTTTTTAAAAATGAATTTAAAAAATTTTATTCCTGCTATAGATGACATTTTAAGTTACTATTAACTTGAAGTATAAACTTGATTTATGAGATTTATAGTAATGTTTATATTAATAGATTTATTTTCTTTAATTTATAACAGATCTATAAAATTAATTATTATGGATTTTTATAACAGATTTGTGAGAATTATTATTACAAATACGTGATTATTATTATGAATTTATTATTATATATTTATTATTACGGCCGTTTTTTGGATTTATATTTTTAGTTTTTTAGTATAATAAAATTGTAAAGGTTCTAATGATAAGATCAGTTCAGCTTCTTTCAGAAGCCTTGTTTTCTTTGTTCTTGTAAAATATAGTATTTAATTTACGGCAAATGTAAACAGAATATATATATATATATATATATATATATATATATATATATATATATATATATATATATATATATATATATATATATATATATATATATATATACATATATATATATATATATATATATATATATATATATATATATATATATATATATATATATATATATATATATATATATATATATATATATATAAAAACGCCAATATCTTAATATATAATATATTTTTATTTATTTCCATACTTATAATGTTGTGTAGCGCAGGTGGTAAAAACGAAAGTAATCAGCAATGCAATTGTGATTCTGTAATAATGATAATATGTGAAAGTTTTTTTTATACAGAATGAGTTTTTTTTTTTTAACAAGAAAATGTTATTTTAAACTTTAACTTACTTATTATCAGTAATTAAAAAGAAGAATAGACATACTTTCCTTCCAATCAAAATAAAAACCTAACTTCGTATGTTCTTAGTTTGGTTATTAGATTTATGATATTAATTATAAAATAATAAATGTTATGGTTCCTATCATTGGCGTATTAAGACTTTTCAGGGCCCGGAGGTCTTTTTAACGTGCCACAGCATAAAAATGACTAAAACAGTAGAAAAAGAAAAAGGTCCGCTTAATAGTTTCGGAATCCCGAAATTTTAGGGCCCTAGCCCCCTCTTCACTGGTTCCTATAGGAACCAGTGCTGGATTAAGGAGGAGGGCTACGGCCGTATATATACGAATCTAAAATTTTCCTTCAGCATCCTATAAGAATCCTGTTAATCCTGCAAGATCTTTTAAAATATTCTTGTAGATCTTATATTATCTTATAAGAATTCCTTCAAATCCTACAAGATCCTTCAAAAGATTCTTGTAGGTCCTGCAGGGACTTGTGCATCTCATCCTATAGGATTCTTGTAGGATTTGTAAGATCAGTCGTCTAGTGTATTGCATAAAATATGCAAAGTTTTAAGTATGCAGTTTTCCGTATCTCAATCATTTCGAGCAGAAAGTGATTTTCAACCAGTGAGGTAATAATTTGTTTCTTAAATAGTTATATTAAATTAAAAATAAAAAAACAAACGAAGTATTTATGTATGTGTGTGTGTTGTGTTGATTAATGGTTAAAAAAAAATGAAAATAAGAAATCATGTATAAAGGCTATACAAAAAGCTATACTATAGCTTTTTGTGCTTAAACATTCTACTACAATTTTTTTTATTTAAGCTGAAAGATGTGTAAATTTTTTTTCTAGGTGCTGAAATTTAAAAAACTTTTTTTTTAGTAAAATTGTGTTCATGCTTAAGTATATATACTTAAGCATGAACACAATTTTACTAAAAAAAAAAAGTTTATAAAGAAGTATATAATATATTTATATCACATTTCATGGAGAAAATAATCAGTTATGTTATAATTCATTTTATGTTTGAATAATACCAAAATTACATTTAGTAAATGATTTACTAGTAAGTTATTTTATGATATAAAATTATGTAATAGTTATTTTGTGACATAACATAAATTATGTTGCTTTGCTTATATTAATTTTTCTTTTTATTAGAACATCTCCAAACTGTTTATTTAATGCTTGTTCTATATCATTAATTGGCAACGAATCTTTGTCAGAATACCGTAGATGCCTGACCGGTATCGAATTATATACAAATGTAGATTTTTATTTAAACCATCAAATTATTTTTTCTCAAACTGTTGTTACCAAATCTTGAATAATTGATGAAAATACAGCTTTTTCTATTATTATTTCTCAAAAAGCATATAATTTCTTTTGTAAAAATAATAGAACACTAAGTGTCATATCAGAATCTATCAATATTGCGAAAAATTATTCTTTTTCCTCGTTTCTTACTTTGTGTGCTCTCTTAAGTGTTGCTTGAATACCAATTGAATCATATTATCCTATAGAAAAGGATAGAAAAGAAATAGAAAAAACTGTTTATGAAATATTTTTCAATTACACTGTTAGACCACGTGTTGAACATTCTTTAAGCACATCTGTAAAAAAAATACACATTCTTCGTTGCTCTACAGTTATTGCAGGTTTTAAACCGACCTCTAGTATATTTGTAAACAAAGATCACTTTAATATCTTTAAAATGTTTTGCTAAAAAATACCAAGTTCCAAATATTTTTGTACCTGAAGTAGTAAAATTATCTGAAATAAATCAACTTACTTCTTCAAAATCTAGTATCTCGATTCTACTCAGGAAACAGATATTTTAGATCCAGTTAAAATTCTTTCCACTTTAAAAAAAAACAACAACTCACAATTGATCAACTTATTATCAAGTCACCTTTTCCTACAGACAAAAAAATTTGTGTTTTATCTTCGCTAATCAAATTAAAAAGTTCTTCCACACTATCAATTGCAGAATGTTCTTCAAAATTTATCCATTCACCGAGTAAGGCAAATTTAAACTCTAAAGGTAGTTCTTCTGCTTTTGGAAATAAATGTAAACTATCCTTTGTAAACAAATACGAAATCGGGCTCTATGAAACTTATGGAATTAATAAACTAGACAATGAAGATAAATATGATTTACTAAAAAATGTTTATAAACCAAGCTCTAGTTATCATTTTGAATCCAATAAATCAGGTCGTTCCTTCAGGTTGTTCCTTCAGATCGTTCCTTCAGGTCGTTCCTTCAGGTCGTTCCTTCAGATCGTTTCTTTCAATTCTCTTGGCTCTTGTTATACTCTTGGCTTGCATATTCAGAAATTAAAAAAGGTGCTTATTGTGTTAATTTTGTTATTTTTGGATCTGAAGAATCAAGTCATAATGCAAGTAAACTTATTCGGCTTTATAAATCTCCATTTGTGGCATATTCAAGTTTAATAAACATGCTGAAAGTTCACCAAGTCACCAAACTGCAACTCTAAAGGCAGCTCATTTTCGCCAATGTATGGAGCAAAAGATAAATCTTATTGACTTGAATCTCAACAAAGTAATTGATGAACAAGTCAAGAAAAATAGAGAAATATTAAAACC